CCGGCCGGCGGTGGGGGCACCGGGGAGGTGGGTGGAGCCGGCAGCGGGCGCGAGTGCTCCGTCCGGGTGGGTGAGTTTCTGTCTGGGCCGCAGTGGGAGCTTCTTGAGTCGGCCTCTGGGAAGCAGCAGCGCAGCACCTGACACGCCCGTTGTTCCCGCCACCGGTTCCCCGTTGCCACGTGGTACCCGGTGGCGCAGGACGTAGCCACGGGACAGACTGGGTGACGGTGCACAGCGCCCCTCTGTGTTATCCTGGCAGAGATAACCGAGAGTCCATGACTCTATCGTTGCAAAATAAAAAGGGGTTTGTCCAAACAAAGATACGGGGTTTTTTTTGCTCTAATGAGCTTTTTCAGCAGAAAGTTCCCGATGAGGTGGTGGGTGGTGGCTGTGGTAGGACCGCAGGGGCCAGCGGATATGAAATACTCTGTGAGAATACAGGGTGTCCCAAAAAAATGTACACACACTTTGGATAATTATAGAGGCCGTGTTTATTAAAATACATTTCATTTTCAAGATTGAGCCTCAGCTGTTCAAGTGTGTGTACATTTTGGGGGGAGACACCCTGTATTATTATTTCTGTTTCCTAATAACTTTGACAAGGGAGCAGGAGCCCGTGAGGTCGGCCCTGTCGTGGGCGAGGGGCCGTGGAAACAGCGTTCTGTGAACAAGACCAGGACAAGCAGGACCGGGGGTTAGGGACTCTGGGGACCCATGGAGCTGAGATGAGAACAGAAGAGGTTTCTACATAAAGTGTTGCTGAGCGTCTCCTTGTGAAAACCAACCCAGATCAGAGGTCTCGTTTTGAATCTGACATCAGATCCGACCCTAGAGAGGAAAAAAGTCCCACTGCGACCACCCTTCCAGTTACCTACCGGCAGTCGGGCAACCTCCGGGCTTTGAAATCTGACAGCAGTGTCGTGTGCTCGCGGTGGAAATGTTTCAGTGAGCGCATTCCCTCTGGGTTATTTTTGTGGGACGCCGAGGGGGTGGTTAAAGATAATAGATTAGGGCTAAACCATACGAAATGCAGAGCCAGCCTTCCCGTGCCCGTCCTCCGGTGACGTCCCCGGGACGCTTCCACAGACTCACTCTGAGAAGTGGCGTGTTGTCCGAATTGTCCTTCCCCTGAAATAACACAGGAAAGGTCACACCCGCTGTTTCCAGTGAGGGGCTTGTCATTGTCACTCTCTCTCGAGAAACGATGCTGAGGCACAGAACTTCTGTTTCCAAGGGTCCTATTGGCCACTCAAAACACCCTTGACCTGTGACCAGGAGGCACGTCCTCAAATAAAAGCAAGCCGTGGAGAACTGCAGAGCGGGCTCTCGGGAAGCACCTCATGGCTAATGGGAAGCCGATGTGCTAAGATCCTGGGTAAACGGCCCGGCCGGCGTGGCTCAGCGGTTGAGCGTCTATGCAGGAACCAGGAGGTCCCCGTTCCATTCCCGGTCAGGGTAGATGCCCAGGTTGTGCTCCATCCCCACTAAGGACATGCAGGAGGCAGCCCATCGATGTTTCCCTTCCTCTCTCTATAAAAGTCAATAAGACATATTTTTAAAAAAACATATAGCCACTCTGGTTCCTTTAAAAAAAAAAAATCCTTGAGAGATAATAGAAAGTTGGGCTTGGAGGTCCTGAGGCACCACTCGTCCGACTCGGGGAGAACAGCGCCCTCCAGGCGATCGTGCAGGAAACACCTGCTGTTCTCCGTGTGTCGGGTTCAGGCAGAGAGGACGTCCCGGTGGCTGAGCTGCCCTCCACTCCCCGGGGTGACCTGACCATTGGCTTGAACGTTTCTGAGCTCTTAGGAGCTTGCGGAAGTTTCACCTTCAAGGCGCAGTCGTTTTTTAAGTGCCAGCAGAGGTGGGCCCTGACAGTGTCCTCCTGGCAACCTTACCAATAACTTTGAAGCCTCGTTTTCTGTGAACGTCACACGGAACGAGGGGCCTCCTTTCCTTTTCCTTCAGGCCTCTCGAGCCAGTGTCTGGGGATCAGAACAAATACGGGGTCCAGGCAGGACAAAGTGTGGTCCCATGAGAGCCAGGGCCGCTCAGGTGCACACAGATGGCCCCAGAACAGCAGAATGTTGGAAACCTTTCCTGGTCATCTGTCCAGAACTGATCTGACAGTTGGCCTGGTAGATTTGCCGGGTGAGGTGGCACTAGAAGTAAATGATGCAAACTAAGGAAACAGAGAAAAGATTGGACTTTATAATTCCACTTTTATTAGTACAAGATATTCCAGGCCAGCCTTTCCTCCAGGACATCCAACAGGCGACAGGCACGCAGACAGGACAGGACAGATGCCTCTGAAACAGGACCCCGTGTTTGCTGTTCTCTGCGGCTGATACGATGCTATTTCACATCCCATAAAAGCAATAGATAGTTTCTGACACACACACCCCTGTGTGGTGCGGTTTGATTTATGTGAACTCATTTCAGAATCAACTGCAGAATCCCTCTGGATCGGATGAAAACTGTCGGCCTGCAGTGATGAAAATAGATGTGTGTGGAAAGCTGAAGTTTTAAGAAGGGAGTTTTATATGAAACAGATCTGTGACTCTATTTCACAAAATACCCTTTTAAAAAAACTTCTGGAGACTTAATTTGCTTTTTTACATTATGTGTCAGCCCAGGAGTTTGCCTGACATGAGAATGAGTCTGCTGTGCCACAAGAGCGCTCTGACTGCAAGTGAGCTCACCTGGGACCTGTATGGGGGGGGCGTGCGTGTAGCATCGGCGCTGGCGCTTCTCACCTGCTCCCCTGGTGGAAGGAACCACAGGGCCCACTAACCTCCACTCAGCTGGCCGCGGTGGAAACGCCGAGCGCGGGCCCGCTCACCCCACACCCGCTCCTGGCTCAGCGCGGCCGGGCTTGGGGGGGTTCTCCTGGTTTCTCCGCAGTTTGTGCTTCCTGTTTAGCAAACTCAGAATCCCTCCTCTTCCCTCGTCCCTCTTCCATCAGGCTGTCTCCATGCGCACGCACAGGCACGAACGCACGCATGCATGCACACACATGCACGCACAGGTGCGAACACACACACATGCATGCACACACATGCACACACGCACACACCCAAGTCCTGTATTTATTCAGAATTTAACTGGTCTTTCAAATCATGCTAATATATAGGGTGTCCCCCCAAAATGTACACTGGACAAGTGTGTGTACATTTTGGGGGGACACCTTGTATTTACCGGGATGGTCATTGATTTTGTTAGTGTTCTTGGTACATAAACATCGAGGAGGTCTGTCCTGACCCCATCTTTTTCAGAACCCTGTCATTTTTTTTATTATGTGACCATAGATCACACTGGGAATGCGTTTATCTCATTACAGCAGGAACATCTGCGTTTGCTCCCTACTTATTAACCGCACTTGTTCTAGATTCGCCCTCTGAGTAAGGGGCTCCCCTCACGGGTCCAGGGACTCAGCCTGAGCGAGGTGCCCCCGGCCTGCCGGTCCATTTATTTAACTTCTCCTTCACGCGGTAAAACCAGCCGTGTGCGCCGCATCCCCATCGAACAGGAACCTGCGCCCCACCGTTTCCTTCTAGGGGATTACTGAAGACCTTTTCACACAGAAGCACTTGATAAAGATGTAACCTTCTTCCACTGGGGCTGGTTTATTGTTTAAATTCACTCTTAGCGTATGGTTTGGGGACTTGTGAGAAACTGAGGCCCATTCTCCCCACGTGCACACGCTCACCCCCCGTCCTGTAGGTCGTTGGTGTCAGCACTTAGATCCCATGCTCTGTATGGTCTGAAGTCTTCAGTTCCATCGGGTTGAGCTGTAGGCGTCGGGGATTAGAAACAGGGAAGAATTGCCCTGGCCAGCGGGCTCCGTGGTTAGAGCGTCAACCGTGCACCAGAGGGTCGTGGGTTTGATTCCCCGTCAAGGGCATGCACCTGGGTTGTGGGTTCGATCCCCAGGCCCTGGTCGGGGCTCATGCGGGAGGCAGCCAGTCGATGTGTCTCTCTCACATCGATGTTTCTCTCTCCCCTCACTCTCTCTAAAAAAATCAATGGAAAAAAATATCCTTGATGAGGTTTCACAGAAAATAAANCCTCACTCTCTCTAAAAAATCAATGGAAAAAAATATCCTTGATGAGGTTTCACAGAAAATAAAAATAAGTGAAATAGGCTCGAACTAAGCTAAGAGATGAATCCCTGCTCACGACAGAAACTAGAAACTTGCTAATTCAGTTAACTCAGCGGAAATGAGATTTTTCAGAGAAGCATCTTTTATATCCTGTTCACGAGGACACAGATACGTATCTTTTGTTTTAGAAAAGAAATAATTCTTTAATATTATTTTTGCACGACTGTAGACCCGGTGTCCCGGAGTCAACGTGAGTGACGTTTTAGACCACAAGTGGTGAGCCTGGGGCGGAGTTTCCTGCGAGCTCGTCACAGCTCCTCCTGCGGGAGCCAAGCGAGCGTCAGGCAGCCGCGTGGCCGCCGAGCAAAGCCCGGGCTCTGGGTGGAGGCTGGCGGCGGCCCGATACCCGATGCCCCCTCCCGGCTCGGCCCGCTGAGCAAAGCCCGGGCTCTGGGCGGAGGCTGGCGGCGGCCCGATACCCAATGCCCGCTCCCGGCTCGGCCCACGTGGCCGCTGAGCAAAGCCTGGGCCCTAGGCGGAGGCTGGCGGCAGCCCAATGCCCGATGCCCCCTCCCAGCTCGGCCCACGTGGCCGCTGAGCAAAGCCCGGGCCCTAGGCGGAGGCTGGCAGCAGGCCCAATGCCCAATGCCCGATGCCCCCTCCCGGCTCCGCCCGCATGGCTGCTGAGCAAAGCCCGGGCCCTAGGCGGAGGCTGGCAGCAGGCCCAATGCCCAATGCCCGATGCCCCCTCCCGGCTCGGCCCACTGAGCAAAGCCCGGGCTCTGGGCGGAGGCTGGCGGCGGCCCGATACCCAATGCCCCCTCCCGGCTCAGCCCGCATGGCTGCTGAGCAAAGCCCGGGCCCTAGGCGGAGGCTGGCGGAGGCCCGATGCCCGATGCCCGCTCCCGGCTCGGCCCACGTGGCCGCTGAGCAAACCCTGGGCCCTAGGCGGAGGCTGGCGGCAGCCCAATGCCCGATGCCCCCTCCCAGCTCGGCCCACGTGGCCGCTGAGCAAAGCCCGGGCCCTAGGCGGAGGCTGGCAGCAGGCCCAATGCCCAATGCCCGATGCCCCCTCCCGGCTCGGCCCGCATGGCTGCTGAGCAAAGCCCGGGCCCTAAGCGGAGGCTGGCGGCAGCCCAATGCCCGATGCCCCCTCCCGGCTCGGCCCGCATGGCTGCTGAGCAAAGCCCGGGCCCTAGGCGGAGGCTGGCGGAGGCCCGATGCCCGATGCCCGCTCCCGGCTCGGCCCACGTGGCCGCTGAGCAAACCCTGGGCCCTAGGCGGAGGCTGGCGGCAGCCCAATGCCCGATGCCCCCTCCCAGCTCGGCCCACGTGGCCGCTGAGCAAAGCCCGGGCCCTAGGCGGAGGCTGGCAGCAGGCCCAATGCCCAATGCCCGATGCCCCCTCCCGGCTCGGCCCGCTGAGCAAAGCCCGGGCCCTAGGCGGAGGCTGGCAGCAGGCCCAATGCCCGATGCCCCCTCCCAGCTCCGCCCGCATGGCCGCTGAGCAAAGCCCGGGCCCTAGGCGGAGGCTGGCGGAGGCCCGATGCCTGATGCCCGCTCCCGGCTCGGCCCGCATGGCCGCTGAGCAAAGCCCGGGCTCTGGGCGGAGGCTGGCGGCAGCCCGATGCCCGATGCCCGCTCCCGGCTGGGCTCCCCTGAGGGAGACGCGTGCCGGGAGCCGGGCGCACGGCGGGGGTCGCCACCCCACACAGCCGGCCCAGCGCCTCACGGATTTTCTTGTTTTCGCTCCACGCTGCGCGTGTCACACGCCACGGGGCCGGCTCTGACTCCGGGCGCCTGTGGCTGAGGGACGTGGGCACAGGGCCGTCCTCAGCCCCGCTCAGCCTGCAGACTCAGCGGTGGCTGCCCGGGGGCGGGGGCCCATCTCTCCCATCGCTCCCTTTTCCGGCCGCCTCGCTTTTCCAGCGCCGTTCTCTCTCCGAGGAGCCTGCCTTCCCCGAGGTTTTCCCCAAGTAGGGCAGCTTCCGCTTGTCGCTCTTGCCCCCGGCGGTAGTTCAGGCCTCACTGGCTCTCCGACCCGCTGATGTTTACTTGAATGAAGGACCAGCCCCTCAGTAGGGAGATGGAAGGTTCTCTGTCCCGATCCTCATGGTGGATCATCCCAACTTTTCAAGCTGCGGGCTTACAGCTGTGCATTGTACCACATATAAGTCCCACCTCAAATGTTAATAAACCCATCAAGACTGACGGTGCTGCCCCCTCAGCTTTAGAAAAAACACAGCCTCTCCCTTGGCAACAATAGGGACACGACAGGAAGAAGGCGGGCCCTGGCTGGTGTGGCTCAGTGGTTAGAGCGCCGGCCCGCGGACTGAAGGGTCCGGGTTCGATTCTGGCCAAGGGCAGGTATCTCGGTTGCAGGCTCGGTCCCCGGCCCTGGTCGCCGGTCGGGGCACGTGCTGGACGCTCCAAGCGACGCTCCTCTCTCTCCCTCCCACTCTCTCTGAAAAGCAGCGGAAAAATACCCCTGGGTGATTATGAAGAAAAGAAGGCAGCTGAAGCCTGGAGCCATAGGGTGGTTTTCTCCCCTGACAATTAATCATCTGCCATCTTCCCTTCCAGCCGTGGGCCCAGACTTTTCAAGAGCCCTCGTGAAAAGGGTGACGCTGGTGAAAGTAGGAGGTGCGGCCGTCATCGAGTGCAGACCCAAGGCTTCCCCGAGGCCTGTCTACACCTGGAAGAGAGGCAGGGACGCGATAAGAGCAAATGAGAGGTACCTTGAAATGTGTTTACTGTTTGATTAACCCGGAACAATAATGCACTGGCCTGTTACGCGTGGTTCCAGAAGCGAGAGTTCGCTGTCTGGTATTTATACTGGTCGTCAGGGAACGGCCGCCTCGCAAGAGGGTGGTTTATAACCCTCGATGTCCAGCGTCCCCCGAACCCCCCTCCCCGCGGAGCAAGAGCCGGAGCCCGCTGCCCAGAGGCCAGCAGCCCAGTTCGTCTCGCTTGGTTTCAGCCTAAGGTGGTTTCCTTGTGGATTTCCCCACCTTTCCCCATCCTGCTTCCCTTTTGCATGAACAAATGAAGGCAGATCTTCTTTGCTATGACACCCCCGCAAATATTTGGCAACAGCTGTTATGTCTCTTGTTGGTCTCTGCAATTTTGAGGCTAAATATCTCTAACTCTGAAACATATTCTGCGAATAACATGGTTTAGATTATTTTAATCACTTCTTTTTAAAACCCTCTTTTACTGCTATCTAGACTCTTTACCTGTGTGTTTATTAAACTTGAACTGTGTTTAGAATGCATGCTGTTTGTGCAACATAAACGTGGACGTGGGTTGTTGGAGGCTTTAGGTCAGATGGCACCCCAGTGGCGGGCGTCTCTAAGACATTCCCTTCGATGTTTTTCCCGTAAACTATCCCCACCGCTTGCTGAAATCTACTCAGTCTGTTGGGAAATGGCGATTACACAAGAGTCTGGGTTGCCCCTAAGATAACATTGACCAGCTGTGCCCATAATGATGTTAACTGATGCTAAAGGTCAAGTGCCCAAGGATGCGACCGGGAGGCCCAGGAACACCTGCCTGCCTCTACCCTTTACACCTGGACGCCTCTGGATTGGCATATGCTAATTAGATCGCTGCCCTGGCGACGTCCTGATTAATGATTTTGCACACAGACCTGATGTGGTTTATTGATAGATGGTGAATTCTCACACATGTTAAATTCATAATATACATCCCATCCTGGCCTCTGCTGTGTCGAGGAGACAGCGTAGACCACTAAAGATTGGCACGGCCTTCAGAGGTGGGCCCAGCCAGCCCCGGCGGTGGCCCAGCCGGATGGAGCATCGTCCTGGGCACCAAAAGGCTGTGGGTTTGATCCCCAGTCAGGGCTCATACCTAAGCTGCGGCCCGACCCCAGCCAGGGCCACGTGCGGGAGGCCGCCGATCGGTGTTTCCCTCACACTGACGTTTCTCTCTCTCCCCCCTCCCTCCCTCCCTCTAAAAACAAATGAAAACA